TTTGAGTCAATGAGTCGATGCAATAAACTGGTTTTCCTTAGATAGAAAATTGAATCAATTTGACTGTATGATCTGGTGAACTGTAAAGTGTCTTGAGATGACATGTGTTGTGAACTGGCGCTATAGAAGTAAACTAAATTGAATTGAATTAATTGGCTGATAGGAAGCCGATGTGGATGAAAGGGCAACAAAGAATAATCAGAGTAAACAGGATCTAACTGTAACTATGAAAGAACTTAATGAGCTAAAATAAATCAAACTAACGTCTGCAACTAAAACTAGACTAAATAATAAATGATACCAAAAATAAAGAAAAGAAATAACTGAAAGAAACAAGGGAGAGTAAAACTAGGAATTCAAAAATTATGCTAATCTTGACAAACCGAACAAAAAATAAAGCATACCTGAGAACCCAAAAAGAAAACTTAAACGGAACCAAAAAGTCCAGAAAGGGCCGAATAATGAAAACCATTGTTCTTTGTGCAGAATCATTCCTGTTCGTTTTACCCGGCAACATATTCTAGATTTAGAAAGGATCAGACCCATTCTAGACCACTTTAAAATAAAAACTGAGGGTGTTTTCACACCTGAGGTTTTCAGTCTGTTTGGATTATCTGGTAATCAGCCTCTCCTTGCTCCATTTTCATTAAGCACTTTTATCTTTGATAAATCGGATCAACAAACAGGTCGAGTGTTCAAGCGGAGTTCCTTAGAACAGGTTTAGTTTGCTTGAATTTGTATCTGTGTCATAAAAACTAAAACACTCCAAATAAATATAACAATGTCATCAACCATGTCAGCACAAAGTGGATAATTACTACTCACAGTAGTAGTAGTATTTTAATAACTTCGTGACGAATCTGCTGCTACTTGTCTGTAAATATTTCCTGTCTATTAGTCTCTAAACTAAGCTTTAAAGTGGAGAGAAGGTCTTAAACGTCGGCCAGCTGATTTGATCATCTAGAGTCATTTCATCATTTACAGTTATTCTGGCATAACTGAGCAGAGATTGCAAAAACGAGCAGAATGGTGAGGCATTTTAGTATTGCGAGTTCATCATGTTACATCACCGGTTTTTAATGTGTTTTCCCAGTTATTCAGAAATTTGTTATCATATCCTTGTGCCTGTATGAAAAAGAACTTCCTGGTTTAAACCAAACTCGTCTCTGGTTCTTTCTCTTTATTCCTTCAGCTCTATTTTAAAGCTACCCTGAATGCAAACGATAATTTAATTAATTACTCCAAAGCTGAATGATTTTATCGACCAACCTCACTGATATGTAACCATTTTCCTAAAAAACCTGAGCTCTCTCTCTTGTGTCAAGAAGATCTTATATATACATATATAAATAAATACCAGGGGCTCAGAGAACAGCTGGAGGAAACCTGGCGCAGAACCCTCAAGCTCCCAGGCCTCTGGTAGACGACCCCAGATTGGAGGAAAAACGGGGGAAGACCGCCCTCGACGGGCCAAAAAGAGAGCCAAGCAGATTTTGCTTTCACAGGTGGAGCAGTACGGCTATCGCTGTAGTGTTCCGCTT